CGGGGCGGCTCCATGTTGATGATAGCCTGCGTCTTCTCCGGGTTTATCTCGATGCCTCTCCGGCTGACCATGTAGCCGAGGAACTTGCCGCCCTGGACGCCGAAGGCGCACTTCTTGGGGTTAAGGCGGAGCCTGAACTCCTTCATGATTTCAAAGATCTCCCGGAGGTCGTCGGCGTGGGAGGTGGCCTGCCTGCTCTTGACGATCATGTCGTCGACGTACGCCTCCATCGTCCGGCCAAGGACCGCTCTGAAGATTTTGGCCACCATCCTAGTATAGGTGGTGCCGGAGTTTTTGAGTCCGAAGGCCATGACGAGGTAACAAAAGATTCCCTCTGGGGTCATGAATGCCGTCTTCTCGGCGTCATCTTCATGCATGGAGATCTGGTGGTACCCTCTGAAAGCGTCGAGGAACGACGTCAACTCGCACCCCGCCGTCTCGTCCACCAGCTGATCAATGTTGGGGAGAGGGAACGGGTCCATGGGGCACGCCTTGTTCAGGTTAGTGTAGTCAACACACATTCTGAACGTCGGCGGTTTCTGTGCGAGGACGACGTTGGCCAACCATGTTGGGTACTTCACCTCTTTGATGTGTTTGATCGATAGGAGCATGGCGACCTCCCCTTTGACGAAGTCCCGCCTGTCGGCGGACAAGTAGCGCCGCTTCTGTTTGACGGGCGCGGAGGCCGGATCGACGGTCAGCCGGTGAGTGATCACCTGGCGACTGATGCCTGGCATATCGTCCGGGCCCCACGCGAAGACAACGGCGTATGACCGTAGGACGAGGAGGATGGCGTCTCGTTGGTCCTGGGGGAGTTGCTTTCCGACCCTGAGAACCCGCTCCGGCCGGGAGGTATCCAGAGGGATTTCCTCGACCTCCTCGGCAGGCTCCGCATGCGGCCTCTCCTCGTCCATGGCGACGGCGGCCGTAATGGTGTCTATCCTCTGTCCCTCCCTTTCGGCCGGCCTCGTTAGCTTGAGGTAGCAAGCTCTGGCTATCCTCTGATTTCCTCTGGCGTAGCCGATGCCGTCATTGGTGGGGAACTTTAAGCATAGGTGCTTCATGGAGATGATGGCCTCCAAGTCCTCCAGCGCCGGCCGGCCCAGGATCAGGTTGTGGGCGCACTGGAGGTTGACCACCATGAACTCCATGTCAATCTTGGCATGGTGGGGGCCGTCACCGACTTCCACGGGGAGGACTATCGTGCCCTCGGCGTCGATAGAGTCCCCGGTGAAGCCGGATAACGGGGTCTTGATCGGCCTTAGCAGGGCTCTGTCCAGCTTCAGCTGCTTGAAGGTGTCCAAGTACATCACATTGACGGAGCTCCCCGTATCGATGTAAGTACGGTGGATGATGGAGTCACCGATCTCACATCGGATGACGAGGGCATCCCTGTGTGATTCCGTACCCGGAGGCAGATCCTTGTCGGTGAAGGTGATCGCCTCCGTTCGCTGCTTCTTCGGCTGGGGGGGAACGTGGGACACCTCCCCAATGTAAAGGGATTGGGCCCATTTCTTTCTCTGAGTGGCGGAGCCCCCCCCAGTGTTTCCACCTACGATGAGGTGGATGTGATTCTTCTTTGGCGGAGGCTCTTCGAAGTCCTCGTCGTCGCTGAGTCTACCAATCTCCCGCTTCTTCGCAGAGGGTTCGCCCCCATGTTTGCCGGTATTTACCCAAGTGTTCTTGCGTGGGCCACCCTTGACAAACTGGGAGAGTTCCCCCCTGGCGAATAAGGCGTTCGATGGCCTTCTTCAATGAGATGCAATCGTCGGTGTTGTGCGACGAATTCTTGTGGGACCGGCAGTACGTGTCGCCCTGCTGGATGGCTAGGATCTCCTCGGCCGGCCGAGGAGCCTGCTCGATGAGGCCGTGCTTCTCGGCATAATCGAGGATGGTGCCGACCGGGTGGGTGAGGGTTACCCCCGGCCGTTCCAACCTCGGCCGCCAGTGGCGGTCTTTCTTACTCTGTCCACCAGAGCCGTGGCGGCCCTGGGCACCCTGGCCGGCCGGGGACGGACCCGGGGCCGGCGAAGGATTTGTCTTCTTGGGGGGATGGCCCCCCTCTCTCTTGTGATTGTGGAGCTCGTCGGCGTCGGCATACAAGCCTCCGCGTTGGAGAGCCTTGGCGTACGACCTCGGGGGGTCAGTGATGAGGCTCCTGGCGTACGGGGAGCTGCGGAGGGCTCCCTGGTACAAGGCGAGGAGGGTGCGCTCATCGGCCCCCTCGACCTCCTCGGTCTCCCTCGTCCATCGATCGATGAATGACCGGAGGGACTCCTCGTGCTGCTGCTTGACGGAGAGGAGGTGGGTGAAATACTTCTTGGCGCGCTTCCTCCCGGCAAAGTGAGTGAGGAAGCGCTGGGCGAGATCCTGCCATGAGTCGATGCTTCCTTCTGGGAGCCCGTTGAACCACTCGTACGCTAGCCCCTCGAGAGTAGAGAGGAACCAACGGCAGAGGTATTCGTCGGACGCGTTCACCATCATCATGTTGTTCTGGTAACGGCTGAAGTGCTCCTGGGGGTCTGATCGGCCATCGTAGGACTTGATGGCGTTCCCCCTGTATTTCTCAGGGATGGGGGCCGAGAGGACCCTGTTGGTGAAAGGGGTCCTCGTCTTGACCTGGATGATGGGGTCACCCCGCCCTTCGGCCAGCTCCCTCTCCAGGGCGCTAACCTTGTTCATGAGCGCGTTGAGGCCGGGATCGTTGGAGGCGCCGGCCGTAGGGATGTTGGCCGACTGCCTGGCCTCCATCTGGGCTAGCCTCCTCTCCAGCTGAGCGATGACCTCGTCCCGGGGGTCCCTGGCGGCCGTAGCGCCACCCGGCTGGTTCCTCATGCGCTCGTTGTGAGCCGCGTTGATCTGGTGACGCACGTCATCCTCGTGCAACTTTCCCTTGCCCTTGTCCGGGCGGGGCTGGTCCGCTGTCCAGGACACAGACCCCAAGCTTTCCCTTGGCGAGCAAGGACGAGGATCACCAATCCGTCCCGCCATCCTCTCCGAAACCGGACGACGGCGCGTGTCACCTAGCCTATTGAAGGCAGAGGCTTTTCCACGCGCTGGGGTCTGCCTGGGCCGAAGAGGGGAAGCAGGGTGGGAGTGGGACGACGCCGTGTCCTGGGGCACCACACCCTCGTCGTTGCCAATCTGGACGGCCAACGGTTGGGGTTGAGGAGGTTGAGTGATGTTCCCCCCAGTCCTTGGCAAGAGTGCGCTGAGGACGGTGGGGTTCTGAGCCAAGCTGGCGATGATAGCCGATAGTGCGGCCTGGACCTGAGGATCTACGGACGGAGAGGCCGCGGCCATAGGCTGGGCCGGGGCGTGATCCGTCTTTTCAGCTCGCTTCTTGTCCAAGCCGAGGCGGGCATCAGGGGCGCCGCCGTTGAGTTGGTTGCGGAGGTCCGTTGTGAGGTTGAAAGCCTCCTGGAAGAGATCCCCTCCGCCGGCCTGGTCGGCCGTGGCGTCCTCATCGTGCTCCCTGGGCTCTTGGTCCTCAGGGATGACTTTGCTGACGAGGTTGCGGTTTGACTTAGTTCTCCCCATGATCAGTGGTTAGCTGTGCTTGGTAGCGACGAAGGGTGCTAACTTGATTGTTCTAGCTCTCAACGAGAGCACCAAATGATGGAGTATCAACTCCTAGCTTCTAGAGAGAAGTGAGAGCTAGAGAGAGAAGTGCAATAATATGCTTCAATAGAATGATTTCGTCACCCCTATAGCTACTCCCAAGGGGAGTATTCATAGAGAAAATTAGGGTTGGGCTCCCAAGCCTTGGGCTTGGGAGGCCCATTTACATCTGGACCGCTACTGGGCCGAATACAAAGCCACTAATGGGCTGTACAAATGAGTAAGTATAAAATCCGATTCTGGGAGGTCTTCGTGGCCGACGAGGGCGTGGCCGACGAGGGCACGGCCGACGAGGGCACGGCCGACGAGGGCACCCGGTTTCCTTGGACTCAGGACCATAATCCGAGTTGGCACCTTTTCGGCCGACGGGGGCGTCCTGGCCGATGAGGGCGCCACTCTGTGCCTTGTGCTTTCTGTTCTTCCGAGTATGTGGGTCCGGGGGCTCAGACCCATATACTCCATCAATACGCTAAAAAGTATTGACATACTATTTTTTCTGGATGGATTGCAAAGATAAAACTGATAGATGGAGTAATTGCATTATTTTCACATTGTCTCGTCCTTATAATTGTCATATTTTCTTTTTTGGTTATCCCAAAAACTTTATCTCTTTTCTTTTCCCATTTCCTTTTAGTCGATTAATTTGTGGTTCCTATTATTTCTCTTTTTTCGCACAAATCTCAATCTCATAGTTTTTACTTTATTACTCATCGTGCCAGTCAAAATTGACAGAGTTTTAAAGGACAAAGATTGTATTCAAGAGTTTATATTTGGCCATTGGGTTTATTGAATGTGGATTGGATAGTGTCACCTTGGGTTGCAAGTTGCAACAAACTGTATATAACATAATAACTGCATTTGCTAAAGTTATAAGGCAAAAAAGCTTAGAAAGAATGTATGATGTTTGGAAAGGAGACAGAGAATGAGTAGTTGAATACACATACAAAGCATCTCACCAGTCATCCAGGCCAGTCAAGGAGAATAACTTTAAGCAAACATGGGAAAGTGGTACACACTATGGGAAATAACTTTAAGCTAACATGGGAAAGTATAGCCGTTGAAAATCTTACTAAAAAAAAAGGATGACACCCCATCCCTGAGGGCTCCCCAACCCCGACCGGACGATAAGTTGGGAGGATGTAAATTGGACTATAATCACAATCTCATAGATAGAGAGTGAGACTCTGTCCCCGATACTTGCAGAGGCCCTATGCATTTTTAGCATAGTAACCCCTCATCGCAATTGCCGTGATTCGAACCCGAAACCTAACCCTTGTGACACTCTCTTGCTACCAGTTGAGCTATGCCCACCGGTGTTGAAAATCTTACTCAAAAGCATAGATAAGATCCACTATAAGATGGTGAAGTTAGAAGGGGAAGGCAGGAAAGCACAGAAGATGAAATCCATTTAGCATTTAAAGAAAAAATAACTCACAAGAATAGCCCAGTTATTTATAAGAGCTATTATTTTCCAACAAAGGAATGGGACTGGTAAAAAGTCAAGGTATTTAGAACATCAACCAAAACTGAGTTTTTTACACAACATGTGATGAACAGTGTGAACGGAAGTTTTTTTCAGTTTTGTTTGGGAACAATGTAGGAATAACCCAACTAAGCAAGTATGATCAATCAACCAATCAGCTAGACCTTATTCTTTTTGCACCACCTCTTCCATCTGATTTCACAGTTGAAGCAGATTCGCCTTCAGAGGAAGCCTCCCTGGATTTGGTCAAAGAATCAGAGAGATCGGCATAGAGATCAACCACCCTTCTAATATTGTTGTTGAGCTCTCTAATAAGACCCACGTTTCGGGTCAAGTTATCCGGGATCTTAGACTCGTGGTTTTGGTTGATCTCATTGATTAAAAGTCTGTTTTGGTCTAGTATGTTTTGAACTTGTACAAAACTCTTTTGAAATGTCTGCAGAACTTTGCTGTCTATACGGGTTCCATTTGCAATTCCCGAGAATATTTCATCATCCATTTCAATTCCTATTCAATTCAGGCTCACAACCCCCTGCAAATTCTACAACTGCATATATAAATATAATAATTTCTATCAGTTGAAGCTCACACAAAGTATTTTTACGTCATCCATACAAGTCAAATATAAAACTATAAACTCACACACTTTGTATAAGACATTGAGCTTTTAAAATTGAACCTCAAACTTTAATATGAGCTCTATATGCGCTATTTAAATCTTTTTAAATATAAAGTTTCACAGAAATGACAAGAATCAGCAATCCAGCTAGAACTTTATAAACTTCAGCCGAATAGGCTGATTTAACCATTTTAGTGTTACCAAATGGGGTCTAAGACTCGTGACCTATACTGGAAAGAGCAGTCCAAGTTGTAAGTTTGTATTTTTTATATTTAGCAGGCGAGTGAGAGCCATACATAGTAAGAATACATGAAGTAACACAAAAACACAATCGATCAATGGAGGAATTGTGTATAGAAGCAGATATGGATTTTACTTTAAAAGTCAACCAAATTTCTAAGCTTTGTAATATTAAAGTTGCCTTCAATGCTAAAGGATCACCCTTTTTCTCTTTCTAAGATTTGCTAATCAATTATCCATTGTGAACTGGGAAGAAATCATTCCGACCACACTCAAGAAATCATTGTTTACTGATCAGGCGAGTAATCCAGCCAGCAAAACATCATGTATTACAAGGATTGAACAAATCAAATGGAAATTTGGAGAAAAAGTTTAAACAGGATTCGGAACTACGACACACCCGTAAAAGGGATTACAGAATAAGATAATCAGAAATTGCAATTCCCTTTTTTTACCTCGAGGATACGGAAGAAGAACATTCTTCTCCAAGATAGTGTTGAAGAAATCGTCGTTCCAGTGACGCGATAGAAAAGATGCCCAGAAATCATGAACAGAGAGAGAAGCCGAGAATGTTGTGAAATTTATGAAGGCGGTTGAGACACAGGGATGAGGGTGTGCAGATTTGGGATGGGCAGAGCCGCGTGGGGGAGTAATAAGTTTCTCTCTCCTTGTTTACTTCACCTGCGGGATTCTTTATTCCTCTGTACCTTTGTATAAATTGTGTTGATTCTTCTACGAATTTTCTAAATTCTACATTGTAACAAATAAAAATTGGACTTCACATTCATTTCACTATTATAGCTCCCGTGCGATGCACGGTGTGTGAATATTTCAAAAAAGTACCTATGTGAGTATTTGTTATAAAAAATCTAAGACAATTTAAAATGGTTAAATAAAATGATTGTTGGAAATAAATGTGATTGTTCGTCATTATAAAGAAAATTACAGTTGTGACAAAAAAAGGATTAGTAAGTATCAAATTTTGTGCAGTATAGTCAGCACTACATGTTATAAAACACTTTCTATACCACACTTGTGGTCTCTTACCGAGGTCTCTCATCTTCGCCTTGAATAAGTATTTTAATATCAAAATAATTTGTAGACCTTGAGACGATTAATATTAGTCCATGGCTAATACATTTTCTTAATATTTAATATTTTCACATTGGAAATTTTAAAAGAAAGTTTGAAGTTGACATGATAAAGATATTCATGGTATTATTATTTTTACCTACACTCTTGGTATTAAAGATTTTCATATAATTCATTAATTAAAAATTTTCAATTAATTTAATCATTTAAGTCTAACCAAAACGACTCCTTATTCTTTGTTGCGCTTGTATTCTTTTTGGAAGTTTTATTTGCTCCACTCAATTTGAAAATTTTTAGTTTATTTAAATACATCAATATATGTATTGAATTTTCTTTTTCATCTTTCATCTCACTTTTTTGGTTGAAAATGATCATATATTACCGCAATAAATGACTCCATGTGAAGTACAATGCAATCGGAAGGAAAAGAAAAATACAAAGAATTATCTGTCATTGAAAGTGCCGCATTTGCCAGAACATGAGTCACACTGTTCGCGGATCTTCTACGGTGGATGACTTCCATTTTAGCTTCTTTTTGACGAATGTATCTTATATCGTCAAGGACTGTGTCGAAATAAGACTCGCCCTCTCTACTCGTGATTCTGGAGGCTACCATTAAAGAGTCTGTCTGGACTTGCACTTGTGTCCACTGCTGCATTTTGGCTCAAGTTAATGCTTCTCTGACCCCTATAGTCTCCGTCACCTCAGCCTTCCAGACTGCACAATTTTTTTGACAACCTGCAGAAATGAACCGCCCCATGTTGTCTCTGACTACCCACGCCCATGATCGGGTACCATTGTTTGTGTCAAAGGCCGCATCAGCATTAATTTTTACTTGTCCTTCCCCAAGTCGTTGCCATTTGATGCCACTTTCTCCCCTTTCGCTTACCACTTGATGCCATTTTCATCTTTCATCTCTTATTAATTCAATCACTTATTATTTTTATAAAAAATACACAGCTCAACAAAAAAGGAGGTATTTCTTTTTATAAGAATCCCTCAACCCAAAAATTGTTTTCCAGTCCACCCCTAAGGCCCTAATCCACAACTCAAAATCACTCTACACTCAAATGCACCAATCGATAATCCACCCCTAATTCTTCTCGTCTATCCCCTTCTCAGGCCGATAATTCAACCCCCATTCTCCTCTGGTTCCTTATGCCCCGGCAATCTTACCCCTTATTTTCTCTTGTCTGCTATCTTATCCGGCCGACAATGTCACCCCTACTATTATGGGATGTCTCAACCTACAACTACACCAAAATGTAAATTTTTAATAGTAGTTGAATTTTTTGTGTGTACAAATATCAAGTATGAAATTAAAATTGTTTTCCTAGTCTTTTTTAGTATGTTTATGTCTTTTTTAATCACAAAAATGTTATTGGCAACTATCATAAACATTAAAATAGTATAGTTGTGGGGCATGTATCTAAAATCGTAGTTACATTTCTTTCTGCATAAGTGATCCTGGTTTGATAAATCTCCCTAATCATAGACCATTATCTAACATTTTCAAAGAAATATTGTCTTATGCTATTAGAGTTAGATATGTGATTATTTGAGAAAGCGGTCCAGCCCAGCTGGTCGCCGACTCACTCTCCCTTACGGGAGGTCTCATGTTCGAAACCGTTTGATCAACAATGGGTCTGCATCTAAACCTGGAATATCATTGTGTTTGTACACATTATTTCTAAGGTTCCAATTTCTAAGTCCCAAATATCTTGTGTAATATTTGGATTTTTAATTTGAAAATAATACTTTTATAATTGATTTCAGATAAAAAAAACTGGCTAAAAGGCAATGTTTTCAAGAGCTAAAATAGAGTTTATCAATGAGAGAATTCTTGTATGGAGTAAATGTTTAACCACCTTTGAATATAACCCCCATCTGCTTAAATTTCACTTGCCATATAGTGAACATAATGAACCTATATACTTTACCATGTAGGTGTATATATAAATCACTACCTTTGTTTATTAATATTGATACCTCCTCCGTATGTATCTTTTGGTCTTATCATTGTTCCTCGGCGATCGCAGTTTGCAGCAATCAAATAATGCAGATTTTTTTTTGAAATTTTTATCAGAAAGACAACCACTCTTGTATATCGGAGTAGTTTTTCAATAGTGTGGCTTAAGCATATGTTGAGATTTCTATTGTGTTTGGAATTACCAAACATTGAATACATAAATAAATCAAATACCAAAACCCTCTCCTTTTCATATCTTTATAATGAACGCATCTCTTTATTGCTTCTTTGAAAATGACCAGCTCAAATGATCTTGATCCATGAAATATTTTGGTTGTTTCCCATGGCAAGAATTCTTACTCAAATATTTCTTGTATATTCCTTAACTTTCCCCTTCTGTGCTCACCAAAACATGGTTGCTCTGCATATGAGACATTTTTTCTCATCGATTTCTATAAGAAATTTCATACCTATGGGTGTGTGCATATATAGGCACATTTAAGTTTTATTTTCGCTTAATGCAGGCCCATAATTCCCAGAAATGAAAGAGATGGGGAAGAAAGGGAAGAAATGCATGAATTGTTTTCAAATGGTGGTGGTCCTTTGAAAAGAATTGCCTTGTATTTACAGGGAGGTGATACTGCATCTCAGTGCCTCCTCATAAAGAAATTACACCTCTCGAGAAAAAGGTGTCAAGTTTTGATGGGCTGATTTTGTTTAATACATTTTAAATTTTATTTAGGCCTATTTCGTGTACACGTGCCCAAGGAAAAGGCTGTCATGAATAGACAACACATAGCACGCCTTTTTCTGTTCAATTTTAATCACTATTTCCACAGCAGCATGTAAATCTTCTCCAACACGCCTAATATTATCTACCCTACCTTCGGTACTCTACATTTTTATTACGAAGTATTTTTTATTTCTCTATTTGATATTTTGATTTATATTTCTCTTTTCCTTGACGTTGACAGTTTTGAGCGGGAATACTGTTCATGAAAATCTTTTGCTTTCATGAAAATCCGTTCAGCTTTTCAGATTGAATTCTTTTTTCTCAAGCAATATTTATTTGCACTGTTTGTTGATGTTGACATTTCTAAGTGGGAAGACTATTTCCAAAAACCTTTTGCTTTTATATAATGATAGATTTCGGAAGTTCAATTTTGTAATACTAAAAAAAATGTAAGTTTGAACATATTTTTCTGATTTTATTGATCGAGTGTATAAGATCATTTTAGTTATTTTTTTATATATATTTTTTCTTTATTTTATTAATAAAATATATTTTAAATATAATTTTTTCATAAATCACCAGAATCAGTCAATCTTGGTATTACCAATCGGACTCAAATAAATTTCAATTTTAATCCTAAAGAGTATAAAACGGCCTGATACCTGACGGTTCTAACTCTTCCCAGTTTTTTTTCTAGCGACATATTTTTGACTACTTGTGTCCGGCAAGGGTGGTGGATTACCCCTTTATGGGTTAGACTTTCAATGAATATTGTTAGTTGTAATTGTGAGGGCTTGGCAACCTTGCTATGGTCCATATTCTAAACGATCTGATCAGAGAAAGAAATTTGCATGTAGTTTCTAATGGAAACAAAGGCATGCCAACGGCGTGTTGAAGGTGTTATGCGAGGATTGGGATAACGAGCAGAGCATGTTATTAAGAGCATATGATTGAGCGGAGGTTTGGTGATAATCTGGCACGATGAGATGGAGGTAAGTATTAGCGAGGCTCATAATTATTTTATTAATTGTTCTATTCGTATGTACGAGGGAGAAACATGGTGGCGTCTCACCAGATTTTATGAAATTCTGGAACGAAATAGGCAAAGAGTCGTCTGAGATGTTGCGGTTGTTGGCAGATCCCAATAACCTTCCTTGGCTAGTTGTCGACGACTTCAATGATTTTGTGTATCCGAGTGATCGAGAAGAAAGGTGGAGCTCCAAAACCGCTATAGCAAATAAGGGGTTTTCGAGAAGAGATTTGGGTGAGGGAGCTACGAGACTTTCTTTTTGATGGCTATCAATGAACTTGGGAGAGGGGAAGAAGAACGCAAGCATTGGTGGAGGAAAATTAGATCATATTTTGGTAAATGCGGTCTGGAAGAATAGGTTTGGGAGCAATCAAGGGTTTTTCTTTGGAAGGTATCACTAATTACCACCTAATGTTACTAGTGAGAGTGCAAGAACATCAACAAAAATACAGCACGAGACCATTCCGGTTTGAAAATATTTGAACAAAGGAAGAAGAGTGTCATACGGTTATTCAGAAGAGTTGGGCCAATGGCAGGGGCAACAGAAATGGCAGAAGCTATGGCGGTGTAGCGATGCACTCGAAAAATGGGGCAGAAGTCGCAGATTGGGGTTTTCAGCCTGAATTAATGTGTGTAGGAATAGATTCAAAGTGATGTGTGGCTGCCAAAGTGTTCCGTATGAAGCTGAATTATAGAAGGGAAAAGACACCTTGGTCGGGCTTCTTGAACAACAAAATATGTTCTGGAAACAAAGATCCAAAGAGTTTTGGCTGCATGAAGGGGACTCAAATTTCAATTTTTTCATAATTCGGTTAAACAACGAAGGAGGAAAAATCATATGAGA